ACTGGAAATTATAGAGCCTGAGGAGGAGGAAGCTGCTAAAGGGGAAGACTCTGAGGAGGAGCATCAAATGTCTTTATGTTTGAGTGACAGAAGTTTACTTCAGGGTAGGAAGAAGAGAATTTGTAAATCAAGAGTGATTTATTCCCCGTAATCCACCAGAGGGAGCAAGAAATCTAAAGCTTCAGGAAAAAGAAAGAAGAAATCATATCAGGTTGCTGAAATGGGGCAAGTACCGGTCATTGAAGTCGGTGAACAAGCTGGCACCTCGTATACTGCACCTTCGGAGGGAATAAACGATTCGACTGGTGAGTCCTGCACTGGGGTTTCTCTTGAAGCTAATCTGGGAGAGGCCATGGGGGTTTTATTTCAGGCTATTCAGGGTAAAGCTGGTAGTCCTGCTATAGCCTGGTTGCAAGACAGTTTGAATTTGTCAATTCACCTGCATCGGTTAATTTGGATAATCGTTCTGACAAGAGCAGTACGCCTGTTAATGAGTCTTGTTTGAAGGAAGCTTTGGCATTTGGCTAAGTGCATTAAAGAAAAAAAATATGGAATGATGAATATATTGATATTCTTTCCATATTGCAAGCCTCTAAGGAATTTTTGTTAAGGCAAGAAGGAGATGAAGACAGGAAATGACCGGCACCCCGGTCCTTTAATAATTGGCTTCAGGCATTTTGTATTTTTGCTAGTGTTTATTGTGAACGTCATGCAGATAAAGCTTTTTCATCATCTAGGAGTTATATTAGAGGCGGTGGGGGGCGGGTCCGGGCCGCCGAGCTGAACAGTAGCCATTATCATCAGCTCCGGTCCCCACTAAAAACGAAGATATAGGGCCAAAAGAGCCCAGCTAGCAACCAGATACCGCTACACTCATCTGTGGGAACACATCAACAGCGGGGAGATCCCGGCCCCGGAGCTGTAATACCAAAAGATCGGGCCCGCCGGCACCTCATGCCTCATGCCTACCTCCACGCTTCACTACGACGACAAGCCACACGCAACGGAGAAGAAGAGACTGGCCCACTTCTAAGCATGCCCACAGCCCTGCAAGGCATGTAACTGATGGCAGACTGGAGCCCGGCCCAGCCCCGCTCCCCCCCCACCTTCCGGACAGTGGGGGGTACAAAAGCCAGATGCCTGGAGCGGACCTGGAACTTGACCGCAACCTGACTCACAGCCAAACATGGCGCTCTCCCCTCTCCCTGCCATATCCATAACATGCGCATTAAGCCTGGAGGTGGCGGTATGCGGGATCGCACTCACATGTGGGGTTGCAGCGTGAGGGCCTTGGGCCCCGGGGGATCGATGGCCCGGGAAGGAGCCACCCGGAAAGTCTACCTACCGGAGGTATGCTGCCCTCGACCTCTGGGTTTGTGGGGGGCCTGGAGGGACTTGTCCCCAAAGCCGTGAGTCCTGTGGAGCCAGTCTGTGTGGAGCAACGGTGTACCGGTGACCATGAGTGACACACGGCGGATCCAAGTATGTGGTCGGAGCTGGGAGAGACATTGGAGGGGGTGATGCCTCACTGAGCCCCTGAAGGTGCAGGGGAGGTGCAGGAGATAGATGGGCCATGGCCTCTAGGTGGGGGGGCCCAGCGGACTGTCTCATTTTCCTAGTGCCCACTTCGCCTCTGCTGGAGGGTTAGGTGGAGGGTTAGGACTGAAGGGGGATCTGGAAGGGGGTCCTGGGGGCAGAGGCTGCCGTGCTGCTGACAGCCTACCATGGTTTGCCAACTTCTGCATACCAGAGATTGCCGTATCTGAACGGGATGAATGGGGGGGAAGACTCTATGACTTTCTTACTTTGTTTTAATCGTTCTTAATTTTTCCTACTATTTGAGTTTAGGGTATCTTGTAATGCTCGGTTGTGAGCATTCGTCTACTGCAGTTGATTAGTTTTACCGCTCTATATAATCTCGTTATAAAAATGAATACGCTGTTAACGCTACAGTGACCGCATGGGCATAAGCTAATTCTTGTTATATATGGCCTATATATGGCCTATCGCTTAAACACAGCACACAGATATGAGCTAAGACACACATTATATGTAAGGCTACATTGCTTGTGTACACCTGATTGTCACAGACTGCTATGTTTGAATGGGGTGGGCGGGGGAGACCTGTTCCATACCTATATTGCCATCACCTTACTTCTTTCCTTTTATTACTTTACTTCAGGGTGTATTACTATGCCCGGCCACGCGTGCACGGCACAAGGCCCTTTTAGACCGCTGGGAGATACTCCCACCGGTGCTTAAATGGGGACTTCACGTAGGCCTTTTTTCCCTTTTTATGCCTCCCCCTTTTGGAAGGAGGGAACAACTTTGTTACAAAACTTGACGTGACATATACTACGCTTTGCACAGTCTTATGTCATTACTGTTTGGCCAAATGTGCTTAATTAGACTCTGAACCAACATACAGGCAATGATGGACCGAACAGTCCAAACAAACACAGGAAACCTGTGCTACTAGTCGCTACTACAATTATCTAACACTTTAAAATTAAACAGAGGTTTCTACTGACTTAGGCTAACAACCCGTGGACGTTGACTTAGACCAAGTAGGCTAGATATACTAGATAGGCACTTTAAGATGAAATAGGCTCTCTGTTACAACTCCTAAATGTACTGTCTTACCATTATAAGCCAACAGCACCCAGCAAACGAAACATAATTAATCCCTGACTTCATATGACAGAACGCGACGGAACCTATCACTTATAATTCCACCAAAACCAGAACTGCCTGACATAACTGGCTATCAACCCAATGCCACGACTTCACACTGCTGTGATATTCGGACCTAAATTAAAATAACGTACTGAGACTGAAGTACGCTGAGACATACTCAGATTAAACCGTGTGCTGTAGGCTCATATTATTGTCTGTTATGTTATCAAATAATATGCTATACTGTGTAACTGTAAAGCTACATATTACTCCTGATACACATATCTGCCTTTACTGATGTATGTAAAAACTACGCAAATAAACCTTGAAAAAAAAAGAATTTTGGTGGATTAGCTTGGTTAAATTATGATGAAATATTTTGTCAGAAATTATCGGTGTATAAGAATTTGAAATCGGGTATGAAGGATGTTGGTTCTTGGGTAAGCATTATGCTGCCAAGCAGGATTTCTCAATATAGGCCACAGACTCAGGCGAGTGGGTTGCAAATATGTTTGTTGGTCTTTCAATGAGTCACAGTGTAAATGGCTGAATTATTGCAGGTTCAGAAATGAATGCATTAATTGTGCGGGGAGTCATCTGTCCTATCAGTGCTTTAAGAGGCAGGGTGCTGCCGCCAGTGAGCAGATTCCTAAGAGTATGGACCCCAGTGAAAGTACAAAATATGCTCCCTTATTGAAAATGCTATCCAAACCAGCAGATAGCGCAGCTAATTAAAGAAGATTTTTTTAAATTTAGTTTTAGAATACCTGTTTGTAGTTCATCAGTTCAGTTTGTTGAAAATCCTAGTTCAGTTAAGTTGAATACTAGTATAGTTAGAGAAAAGATTGATAGAGAAATAGCTTTAGGGAGCGTGGAAGGCCCGTTTTCAATTCTACCTTTTCCATATGTTAGAGTGTCTCCTCTTGGTTTAGTTCCCAAGAAGGAGAAAGGTACCTATAGATTAATTCACCATCTGTCTTACCCGAAAGCTACATCGTTGAATGATGAGGTGGATCCCTCCATTATTTCTGTGTCTTACACTTCCTTTGAAGATGTGCTGAAATGGGTAAGGAAGTGTGGTCAGAATGCTCTTATGTCAAAAGTTAACATTGAATCAGCATTTAGGTTACTTCTTATACATCCCGACTGTTTTGGTTCATTGGGTTTTCAATTAGAAGGAAAATTTTATTTTGACAAATGTACGTCTATGGATTGTTCTGCTTCTTGTTTTTATTTTGAAAGTTTTCTGAGTTTTTTGGAATGGGTTTTTAAACAGGTTTCGGGATTACATTCAGTCATTCATTATTTGGATGATTTCCTTTTTTGGGAAAGCTGAATCTTCTGATTGCTTTCATTTACTACAAATTTTCATGTCCATTGCTCAACAATTTGGCATTCCATTGGCAAAAGAGTAGAAAGTTTGGCCTGGTACATGTTTACAATTTCTAGGTATAATTATTGATTCTAAACGAATGGAGTTTCGTTCGCCTGAAGATAAAATTGCCAGAATGAAGCTCGAAATTTCTAATTTATTAGATGTTAATAAAACAACAGTTAATAAGTTGCAGTCTGTGTTAGGTTTATTAATTTTTGCTTCAAGAGTAATGCCAATGGCTAGGGCTTTTTCCAGACATATGTCCAAAGCGATAGCTGGTTTTAAAAATCTGCATCATCATGTTAGAATTTCTAGACAGATTAAAGACGATTTACATGTTTGGAATGCTTTTTTATTCAACTTTAATGGTTCCACAATTTGGGAAAGTGATTTTGTATCCAATTGGGATTTGGATATTTTCACGGATGCAGCGGATTCTGAAGGCTTTGGTATATACTTTCATGGTAGATGGGCAGCAGCTGGTTGGCCCAGGACTTCGTTGAGAATGGTTGGGCAAAAATGATTACTCTTTTGGAGCTATTTCTCATAGTCGTAGTCCTGGAGGTTTGGGGCTCTGAATTTACAAACAAGAGGATTACTTTTCATTGTGACAATTTAGGGGTTGTTTGAGTAATCAATTCTCTTAAGGCAAAATATAACCCGGTAATCAATTTATTGAGACGATTGGTTTTCATTTGTTTGGTAAATAATATATGGGTAAAAGTGAAGCATGTAAGTGGAAAAAGTAATTGTATAGCTGATGCTTTGTCCCGTTTTGACTTCAAGTGTTTCAGATCGCTTGCACCTCTCGCGGACGAAGTTGAAACGAGGCCGCCAGAACACATCTGGGAGCTAACTTCACCCAGATAAGCCATCTGTTGGGTTTATCATTATCTACAACCATTTGGGGAGCAAACTTGAAGGCATGGGAAGAATGGCAGTGGTTTATGGTTAATGTAAATAGGAATGCTACTGACCCCACTATACAGGATGCAATTCAATATGTTGTTACAAAAATTCAGGCTGGTGTATCCAAGTTTTTATTTAAAAGAGCCCTATTACGCATTTCTTTTTTCCTTAAAGTATTGGGGGAAAAGTCTGTTTTTAAAGAATTTGTTATTCAGCAAATATTAAAAGTGGCTTGGTTAAAGAAAGCACCAGTCCAAGATGACTGGTCCCATATCTCTTTTCAATTATTGGGTGATTTGGTAAATAATTTTGAGCTCTGTTTGTAGAGATACATTTGAGACCCAACTTTTTACCACTGCTTTTATTTTAGCGTTTTTTGGAGTCTTTAGAATCAGCTAATTAGTTCTGCTTACAAGTCTTGACGTTCAGGTATCCAATTTAGGGACATACATTTACAAGATGGGTTTTTAAAATGTTTATTAAGAAGATCAAAAACTGACCAGCAAGGGAATGGTCAATGGGTTGAGTTACAAGCTATACATCATTCGTTATGCCAAGTTAAGACAGTCAGGGCTTATTTAAGTTTTCGTCCAAAGGGTCAAGGTATTCTTTTAATACACCGGGTCAGGGTTCCCTCTTTCTAAATTTCAATTTCGAAACGTTCAGTTATCATGTAAAGGGTTGGGTATTGATGATAAAAGGATTACATCTCATTTGTTTTGTATATGTGCTGCAACAGGGGCTGTATCCCATAGTCTGTTGAATGAGTCGGTTAAGAGAGTGGGTCCATGGTCCTCGAGCAGATTTAAAATTTATGTTAGACATTAATGCTTTCTATTATGCTTTCTATTATGCTGACTTGATTTTTTCTGTTTCAGATACAAGACCTGTGATTATATGGATAGTAGGCAATTCTTTCATCCACTGGGCACATAGAGCTGTGGAGAGGTCATATGGCGAGAACCTGAGTTTTGATAATGAGACCGCTTTAATTTATTAGGTTGGTTTTATTAAGGGATGATGTTTTTAAAGTTTTGCAAAGGTGTTTTAGCCAACTTCCTTGGCCACATGTTATTATTTTTCATTATGGTGGGAATGATGTAGGCAGAGTCAAGTCAATGGTTTTGTTGCATCAACTTAAGGAGGATGTTTTTCATTTTAAGCAAATGTTCCCGGAACATTTGGTCTGAAATAGTAGCAAGGTTAATTTTGTTGCACAATACTAAGCTTAAAGTGTTAGCGAGAGTTCAGCACAAGCTCAACAAAGCCATGGAGAAATTTATGCCATCAGTTGGTGGTTTTTCTTTTCGCCATGTCGACATTGAGGGGCAGTGCAAAGGTTTGTTTATAAGGGATTGTATTCATTTATCTGATGTCGGTTTGGATATTTTTAATAATAATTTACAGTGCATGATTGATCAGGCCGTGGTCTGGTGAGGTGGGCTGCAGCATTAGTTGCGTGCTGCAGCTTGTGGGGTTGAGGTTACCTGCCTAAATTAAAGGGAGGGGTGGACCAGTTGAGTTTCGTTATCATTTTGTTTAAGTTCTGGCTAATAGGGCGGAACTCTGGTGAGTCGGGGGTTTAAAGACTGGGGGTTTAAAGACCGGAGATGTTTGGTTACAAATTACGTGTTTTAAAGTAAATAAGTTATGTTTGTAATAATTTGTAAACTAAATAAAAGACCACTGCCTTTCAGCACACATCTGAGTCTATGTTTTTATTATTACAATTCTGTGCCTTACTTTGTTATGTATTACTTTGCTGTTATTATGTGTCGGTCTGAATTAACCCTGCTGAGCACATGCTGCTTGGCTGTTACACTCATGGCCATACTTTGCATAATGTTTGCAATACCTTTGATATTTCGTTAGTATGTTTAATTAATACACCTGCCACGGTATAATTTAACCCAGGCGCATATATATCTTGCACTCATCCACAGTTTCCTGAAACTGCCTATTTCAATCTCAGTTTACCCTAAGTAGAGTTGTGCAGTTAATGCTCACTCCTGTCCCTTAAAAAAAAAAAAAAAAGTGTTGAACTTTGCATGGCAGAATGTAACACACTTGAATGTAACTCTCTTGATATTGTGCCTTTTCCCAACTGTAAGCTTATCATTAAACTTCAAAAACAAAAAAATTAAAAATTAAATGCTAATAGATGCCTAAAGAGAAAACGAAGGATGTTTTGTTCCTGCATTAGGGTGTGTCTGAACACACATGGCACACCCCTTGCCTGTGCCTATGCTAGCATAAAAGTAGCACATGCCCAAGTCTTGTAAGCATATTAATGCTATGTATTTTGTAGAACCCTACAAATTTCTAAATTGAATTTACTGTAAATCCACTGAAATAGTCCATTTAACCCCTTAACGACGAGTGACGGACAAAGTCCGTCACTCAGGGGAGACCCTTAACAACAAGTGATGGACCTTGTCTGTCATGCGTTAAAATTAACCCCAGATCGCCATGATTGCGGCGATCGCGGGGTTAATGGTGCTCCGGTCTGCCTCTGTATTAGAGGCAGACCGGGAGCACCCGATCGGGCTGCCAGAGCAGCAGTGCTCGCTCTGACAGGCTGCGTACAGTGATCAATTGGCAGGGATTACATTTTACTGTCATCTGACTTTTTGTTTTAACCCCTGAGGATTAATTCTTTTTTTAACCCTCAGGGGTTAAATTTATTTTATTAATTAATTAAAATATTTTAAAATTATATATTTAGCTGGCTGGAGTGGGTGGAAGTTAGTGGGGAATTGTGGGATTTGATGTTACGCTAACTTGGGGTTAACGTTAAAAAAGTTTTAAAATAAGTTTTAAAAAGGTAAAAATTAAGTTAAAAAACGTTTTAATAATGTTTAAGTAAAAAAAACAAACCCCCCCCCTTTACCCAGTCCAAATAAAAATTAACCCCTTCCCTGCCAGTTGATCACAACAGTGATCAAAATACAGATCACAGTACTATACTGTGATCTAATTTTTTTAACCCCTGAGGATTAACTTTTATTTATTTTTTAACCCTCAGGGGTTCAATTTATTTAATTAATTCATTTAAATATTTTATAATTATATATTTTGCTAGCTGGGATGGGTGGGAGTTATGGGAAAGTGGGGAATTTACTGTTAGTGCTGCTTACTGCTAGTTAGGGGTTAATGGTAAAAAAAATGTTAAATCTGTAAAAAAAAAAAAACATTTTAAGAAAGTTTAGGAAATGTTAAAAAAATTAATAAGCAAAACAAAAGTTTAAAAAGTAAAAAAAGTTTAAAAAGATAAAAAAATACATTTTAAAAATGCTCATTAACACTAGACCTGGAACAAACTAGAGAAAAAATTATCCCACGCTAAGGTTCAAAATATGCCTTTTGAATTACCCCAGGGTGTATTCTTTAATAAATAGTATGTGTTTGTGGGGAAGTTTCAATAACCAACCGTCTAAACTACTCCAAATTGGAACATGGACACAGCGTAAAACTTCAAAGTTAGAAAAAAACTGAATGGCTGTGTCTCAAATGTGCCCCTTCAACATCCACATATACCTGGCAAAGGTACATACGGTACATATTGCTGTACTCAGACGACATAGCTGAGCAACATGTGAAGTATTATATAGTCATAGCACACATAAGGTTTGCAAAGTATACTGCGCAAACTCACTTTGTGTGTAAAAAAGGCAGAAAAAATGCTTATTACCACTACACTTGGTACAAGCTAGCAGAAAAATGATCCCACGCTGAGGTTCAAAATATGCCTTTTGAAATACCCTGGGATGTCTTCTTTAAGAAATGGTATGGCTTTATGGGGTATTTGGATTATATAGCCTGGTAAAATACTCTAAAATGGGACATGGGCACAGCATAAAAATTGAAAGTTTGAAAAAAACTGGAATGGCTGTGTCCCAAATGTGCCCATCCGATGTCCACATATAACTGGCAAATGTACATACGGGGGTATTGCTGTACTAAGCCAACATAGCTGAGCAACATATGAAGTATTATACAGTCGTAGCACACATACGATTTGCAAAATATACTGTGCAAACTCACTTTGTGTTTCAAAAAGGTAAAAAAACGCTTATTACCACTACACTTGGTACAAGCTAGCCGAAAAATATGCCTTTTGAAATACCCTGGGATGTGTTCTTTAAGAAATGATATGCCTTTATGGTGTAGTTGTGATATGTAACCTGCTCAAGTGCTCCATAGTGGAACACAGACGCATCAAAACCCTCCATGAAAATTCACACTTAAAAACCTGAACTTGTCACGTCTCTTTTACAGCACTGTAACTTCACAAAATAGTGTCTAGGTCATACATTGGGCATACCACATACTTTGGCATATATTGGTGAATATATGGGGGCATGTTAAGGCACAATATGCACCATATGAGATACCCTGGAGTGTCTACTTTTAGAAATGGTAAGCCTTTGTGGGTTGTTTTTGAACAGTGAAACTGCTATAATACCCCAAATTGAACCATAGGCCCATTAAATCCGTCTCTCAAAATTCTACTGTAAATACTGAAAAGGACAGGTCTCCTATATGGCACTGTAGCTTCACGAAATAGTGCCAAAGACATAAAATGGGGGTATCGTTGTACTCAGCAGATGTAGCTGAAAACAAAATAAAGTTTTGTACAGGAATAGCACATGCCATCTTTACAAAATACACATGAGAAGTTCTTTGTTATAAGTTTGTGTGCCAAAAACCCCAAAAAACACAATTTTACTCCAATATTTAGCAGAGATTGGCGGTGAAATGGCTACGTAGAAAGTGTCAAAACAACTGTAGGACAATAGCCTGTGATGTCTACTTTATGTAAATATATACTTTTGTGTGGCAATTTTGTTTTCTTTTATGGCTATTAAGCTTACAAGACAAACATACCAAATTCTAAAATCGCTCCACATTAAAAGTTTATTTTACTCCTTGTGCTTTGTGACCTGTAACTACCAAAATAAACTTAAAATCCCAGACACATTACATATTCTGTAAATCAGAACAACTAAATTAATTTATTTTTAATTACTTTCTTTAACCTGCACTAATTATGCACACATTATTATTGCAAAAACTAAAAAAACCCACAAATTTTCTCTTTTTTTGTTGTTGCATTTTTCTGTATTTTTTTGTATAATAAATAAGTATATATATATATATATACATATATATATATATATATATGTTACATCAAATTAAAGCCCTTTCTGTCCTTTAAGAAACGGTATATAATATGTGTCGGTGCAATAAATTAG